TACAAACTAAGGCCATAATCTCAAAATAGTGCTAGATAAAGATAAGTGGACACCACCATTCATTGTTGACCTATTTTAACTTGGTTATGACGGATGTATTTTTTTCAGCCGCCATCTTGGATCCGCCATTTTGAAATGTGATAAATTATTTTAAATATGAAGGTGGTGTTGTGACCCATCATTTTGAACTAATTTTTTATGTTGAATTCAATGCCGCAATCCGTTTATCATTGTCATGTTTGGTTTTTGAAATATTGACATTTTAAATAAAAATAATTGTTATATTTGATCAAGAAAGCTTGATAACAAAAAACGGATACAATAAAAACTGGTCGAAATGAAGTAATCGCTACTCTACAATTATCTGACGTGGTTCGGAGTTGATATCTTAAGAAAAGTAGGGGGGGAACTCATTTAAAACTCACCCTGTATAAAACAATTCACAATTATTTTCCTCATATTTTTTTAGTTTTGAATGGCCGCCATTTTGAAATGACTTGATGAAACTTGACCATTTTCAACCAAGGCCGACATAATGTATTCAAGCACTTGTGTGCCAAATTTCATGAAAATCGGTTCAGGCATTCGGTCGTTATAGCCAATTCATGGGGACCCAGCATCCTCTTACGGCCGCCATTTTGATGACGTCATTACGGACGACCGAGGTCCTTAAAAATTGGGGTCTGGGTGGTTTTAGGTTTAGAAACTTGTATACTATAACCACCTAAAATTGTAGCCTGTCTGCCAGAACTGAAATATTTTCCTGCTACCCAACCTGACTATTGTATTTAACCACAACAGGCTCTGTTGCTAGTATAGATATAGATACAAGAAAATAAACATACCATTTACTAACAATAAATAATCGTGGAATAGATATGAAAATTGAATAATTATTTTTTGTAGCCAAGCAAGTGTACGGTAATTTGTACAATTAATCTGAGTATCGGTGAAGGAGAAAACAGTCTCTTTAGTCAGCCCGCAATACAGCAGTGGTTTGGTAAAGTATCCTACATTTTGCAGGCGTAATTACGAGTGAAGTAGTCTCCAGTTGTCCGCCGCACCGTTTGGTTAGGTCGGCCAAACCAAACTGTGCCACTCAGAGGCAAGTGGGAGGGATTGTTGGTCTCATGCCCCGCCGGCCGCAGATCTTGTGTAAACTAGCGCGGGGGAGATTTACTGCGGTGGACCTAGGTATGACTCCCTTTCAAACCCTTCTTTACTGTTTGTACATACCTTTCGGCTTGACCGTTGGTTGATGGATGGGCTGGATTTGTAAGTTTGTGTTTAATTCCATTTGTCTTGAGAAATACTTAGAATTCTTCAGATGTGAACATAGTTTCATTGTCTGTCACAATTGTAATAGGTAAGCCTAATCTAGCAAAATTGTATCTTAATGTACAGATAGTTTTCTGTGAGGTTATGCTTTTCATCGGAACTACTTCTAACCATTTTGTATATGAATCAACAAGAACAAGGAAGAATACCCCCGCCGCAGCAAACCTGCCGACTAAGCGAATTTCCATTTGTCTGAATTGATTTTCAGTTAAATGTATTTAATTAACATTAGGTTTTATCAGTACCCAGGCTTGCTGCTACATGGAGGGTAAAAAAGTGGGTTTTTTGGTAAAATAATAATAATTACTTAGTAAAAAATAAATATATTTACAAAGTTTGATCAAAATATATTCATAAACAAGCAAACTACAACATTTTACAATATTTTCCATAGGAATAACAAGGGAATTTTAAAATAACAATTTTTTGAATTTTCTCCGTAACCAATAATTGTACAAAAACACTTTGATATACTAAATTATTTGTTTTTCAAGCTCTTTAAAACGGTCTGGAGAGAAATTTTGGGTTTAGAGGGTCAAATATTAGAAAAACCAATATTTACAACATAAAACCCCGACCAAACTTGCCAAATTCTGTATGGTATTCCCCACATGCCTTTTCTGTAATCAAACGGAATAACTCAAATTAAAATTACAATTACATAGCATCACATTTTGCTAAGGGGGGTAGTATTCCAGTCGCGGACACGGCTCCCATATTGGTTAGTTGGCAGATTTTGTGACGTCACGTTTCATCTAGGGGGGATGGTTTTTCGGGGGGGGGGGGGTGTAGTATTCCGCATCCCCTGAAATTTCTCTGAAAGTTACTGGTTGGTTCTTTTTTAATTTAAAAAATATTATTCTTTATAAACTCAGTGACCTTATAATTCATTTTTGTACATTATGACAACAGTTTGTTCATTACTCTGGTTGACTAAGGTAATATTGGTTTTCGATTTAGTTATAGAACCAGTTCAGGGGCTAGAAAATATAGATTGTAATTCAGTTTTACGTTGGGGAATAACAGGATACAATTTTTATATTATTAAAAGAGCTTGTAGGATTTTTGTATTCAGCAAATCGACCCCTAAATATTTATTTTAATAGGCATACTGGGTATAAATTTAAAGCTCTTATCCTCTAGATGTGTCTTTTGCGGGTTTGGGTGATATGCCATGAAAGCCCTTTGTCCTAGGCATTTAAAATTTTAGAGTTTGTGCTGAATTCTGTTGTCAATCATCTGAACTTTTTCAAGTTTATGTTTGTTTACATCAAAACAGATGGCCATGATACAATTTTGTTTACATCCATACAAAAATGGGGTTATCATTACAGTTGGTGATGTTTTAGTGAATTCAAGTAAAATATTTTAATGTTATTTGTTTGAAATGTAAAGAAGAAAATTACTTGCGTTAGATTTTGTGTTTTCATAGTACTGTATGTTTCATTAATATTTGTAATTTTTCTAAGATGCCTCGGAAGAGATCGCGCACACAATGAATATAATAGGGCACGCAAAGCAAATAATAGGGATATGATGAGAAATTTTCGTTTTCACCCTTATCAACTGAACTTAGCCATGGATATTGAACAATTCAGATTTTCCTTAATTGCCCCTCTTTTTTAACATGGACTAATGAATGGAGTATGTAGCTTTTGTGATGCTTTATATTTTAGACGTGTTCACTTTTTTATGCATGATTTCATATTGTACGAGGGCTCAGAAAGTAAAGAACGGTTTGTTCTGACAGGTTCAGGTGGGTGCCGATCTCGTACATTTTGGTGTGTGCACACTCGGCAACTCAGTCGGTATCCAGCCGTAACCGGAAACATCCCCGCGCTGCCCTTTTTTTGAATTTCAACTTAAGATGTGCGCTGCGATTCTTCCAGGAGGTGCGATCAGTAATAAGGTTTTTGTTGGCAAAAAAATTAAAACCAAAACACATTTATCACCAAGTGAATGAAATTAATGAATGAAAGTTCTGTTCGTAAAAAGTGCTTTCAGTTTTTAAATGGCCAAACTGACTTTCATGAGTCATGACGAAGCGAAGAGTGGACACCTGAGTATTGTGACTGATGGAACTGGTCACTATAGTTGATGAAAAGGTTCGCGAAAACCGCCAATTTACGATAACAAAGTTTTCGCTTTGTTTCCCCCAAGGTTCACGGACTTTGTTATTTGAAATTGTCACACAACAAAGCGGAAGTTCCTGCAAAGTTCCAACAAAGAGATAGGTTAATGATTATCACGTAAAAAATAGATGATTTTCAACTTAACTCAGAGCAATAGACAGTAAATTGTAAATTGCAACGAGCGGGACACTCACACGACGACGACAACGATAGGGGTCAGTGCGATGAGCCGGATTCCCAGATGACAGCATCGACAGGAATCTGTGTGAGAAACCAGATGCCCAGATGACAGCAGGGACGGATGGGAAGTCCAACTCGAGTCTGCAGTAGCATCGACGGTGGTCACAACAGACCCAGCCTGCAACGACGGCCAGGTGAGGCGGATGAGCCCCAGCCTACTACGAGTGGGGGGGCGGAATGAGCCTCAGCCTGTGGCTGTGACGGTGACGACAGGAGGGCGACCGTGGACCCCAGGCTACAACGGCAGATGGAGTTAGCCCATACTTAATTGTGCCGAACCCAAGTGCCTGGCTGAATGTCGTGTGCTGAACGAGATGACGATTTCGGGGGTGGCGACGGCTCGGCTGAGCGTGGAAGTAACATCTTGACGCGAACCCTGGAAGGCCAACCCAAATCTCCGTACTGAGGCCTATCCGGAAACTAAATGTGCTGTATAGCACATGGTACTTAAACCTGGCATGTAAACTAGTGTTATATGTTTCAGTGTGGAAAAAGTACGTCACAAATTCAAATATATCATGGATTTTGAAGTGATGAAAAGACGCTGGCTGCTAGCATAGACAAAAAGAATTAAATATAGACTCTCTTAAATATAGAGCGTGAAAGTAACATCTTGACGCGAACCCTGGAAGGCCAACCCAAATCTCCGTACTGAGGCCTATCCGGAAACTAAATGTGCTGTATAGCATGTGGTACTTAAACCTGGCATGTAAACTAATGTTATATGTTTCAGTGTGGAAAAAGTACGTCACAAATTCAAATATATCATGGATTTTGAAGTGATGAAAAGACGCTGGCTGCTAGCATAGACAAAAAGAATTAAATATAGACTCTCAGCCGTGCTGCGGTTACCATAGGTTCTTGCACACACCGCTGGGAGTGCCGTGTAGTTACGTAGCGCGTACGCCGGAACTATATGGCGCTCCCAGTGGTGTGCGCCAGAACCTATCGTAACCGCAGCACAGCTGACAGTCTATATTTAATTCTTGTTGTCTATACTGCTAGTTAGGATTAATAAAATTACAGGATTTGAGCAGGATTATTTATAAAGAGTGGTTGAATAGCAAAAACTCATTTTCATTGATAAGTCATCCAAATTACACAAAAATAAGCAACTCTTAACAAATATGTTTTAGTTTTCAATTTTTTTTTCTTTGAGGGTTTGTCACATGAAACAAGTTGATGTGTGATTCAAGTTTTATTCAATTAATAGGTAATTGATCTTTATCATGTATTTATAATAGTTCCACTCAATAAAAATCATCCTGCACAGTGTTAATAGTAAATAAATAACAGAAAATACAGCTGGTTTATTATAACAACATTTTATATCCAATTTTACAATATAAAATTTATCCTAATGCCTGTAATGAGGATGAAAATAACCCCTTTTGAACCTTGCGTTATGTTACAAAAGCTGGCTTTTCTATACCACTACACTGGTCAATAAAATACAACACCATTATTTCAGTATTGTGCTGAGATTTGCTGCCTTGAGATCAAGAAGTGCAAGTTATAAACCTGACTCTGATTTGTAAGTACAGGCACTTAACATTGGCCCACACTGGAGGGTCCTCCAACTCCTTGCAGCATCAACAAAACAGTTATTCATTTTTCCAATTAAATCTATCGGGGTTTTCCTTCTAAAAACGAACAATAACACCAGACAAATATTAAATAAATGTAATATTAAAAATAGAATAAAAATACAACTTAAAAAAATAAATATAGAGCTTTTATCACATACAATATACCTTAGTTCGACACAAAATATATTATAAAATTAATTAAATAATACATACAAAACAGTATTTAATAAACATGGCATATCTTTTTCAAACAAAAGTTTTTCAACGTTCTTGATTTGAAAAATTGAAGAAAGATATTATGTCAAATATCTGTGTGCGACATACTATATTTATATACATATTTTCAGATCTTTATTTAAAAAAATCATACAAATATGTTCAGTTAATTGTCTTGTGACACTTGCTGAGGTGTCAGAGCAGAGAGCAGCGAGACAGCCAGTTGGTTGGCTTGCGGTGAGGCTCGGACTGCTTCAGCTGGTGTCCTCCCTTGGGTGGGTTGCTGGCCTCCTGTCACAACAAATACACAAGACAATAAATACCTCCTCTTGCTCCTTTTTAGGGATGGATTTTTATAGTAGTTTCTAGTTGTACAGGTATGAAACAGGTTGGACAAATAAAATCAAAATCGAGAATTGATGGAAAATGTCACTTTAATTTATCGGTTGCTGCACAATTGCGATATCTTTGCAACAATTGCAGGATTTTGCTGCAATTGCGGGTGACGACAATGATGCCCACATGACTGCGGTAGATATTCAGTATTTTACTGTAATCTTAGAATACGGTGATGATGTCCATGGGGCACGGTAGATAATCAGCAATTTGCCATGATCATGGAAGTTGATGATGAAGTCCACATAATCACATGAGATATTAAGGATTTTGCCATGATTGTGCATTGATTGTGGTACATCGTTAAGATGTCCATGTGATTGCAGGAAATATTACGGATTTTGCCATGGACACTAAAGACGAAGATAATGTCCACAAGATTACATATTCATGATTTTGCTGATCAATACAAAATAAAATCGCTATGAGTTAAAATTTCATGTTTGATTATTGATGTTCAACTGACATGCATTGGCCATTAACACGTTCGCTACCGAGCGACGCACATTTGCGTCGGTCCGGTCACTCCTACAGACCAAAAGGAATGATCATGACGTTGCTTACAGACCAAGTGATATAGGAATAACATTGCCGACAGACCTAAAGAGAAATATAGTTTAAATGGACTAATTGACTTAACCTTAAGTGAATTAGTAAGCAATAAATATTGTTTTTATTTATCGTTTTGAGCAAATTTTAAAACACCGCATATATAAGTCGGTCAGTCTATTTAATGAAATCCAGTTAAAAAGATTACATTTTCGTTTCAATAGACCAGGCGACGCACGTAAGCGTCGTTGTAAATTTGGTTGTTTCAAGCTTTTACACAAACAAATAAAGAAACTCCACTAAACACTAGCCAAAACTGCAAAGGTTATAACGTTTACATCTGTTCTGTGATGTCGCGGAATACACAATGTAAACAACAATGTTGCCAACTGTTGTGTGACGTAACCAATCGTCATATCCACAGACCAAGCGACGCACATTTGCGGCAGATATCCCTCTAGACCGATACGATAAAATCAGGGCTTTGAAATAGACCGTTGCTAAGAAATACGCTGATTAATAACATTGAACACCAACGCAACTGTGCGTCGTTAGTCTATTTCAATGTGACCAGCTGACGCAAATATGCGTCGGTGGGAGAAACGAGTCGACGCACAATTGCGGCGCTGGTCTATGCGAACGTAAATTCCATATAAATGTGGTAGCGAACGTGTTAAAACCCTGTTATAGTAGTTTATACTTCAATTTTCTACCACACAACTCTTCTGATCACTTGGAGTGAAGCATGTTCACTGTGATCAATTCATTATTTTACTACGCAATTAAAATATGCCACCGTGTTGAAATACTATCTCATTGATATTTTAGAGCTTTTTTATATTTATTTATTTACTTTTTAAATAATTCGAATCCAACCTGTAATAGTTTATTAATAAAAACCACTTAACACAGAACAGTGGCTGTATAAACAACTTGTATCATGCAAAAGAAAAGTTATTATTGCTAGGCTACAAAAATCTTAAAAACCATGCAATTACAAATAATTACAGTATTAACTTTGTAAGTCTGCAAAAACACCAACACTAAACAAAAATACTATCCATTGAAAAACCAATTAAATAAATAATTTTAAATCTGTGGATGTATTTAAAGGTTGTTGGCATTGGAGAAGGACATTTCCCGCCCCGCACCAGTGATGCCGGTACCACGGGGCGAGTATTTTTTTAAGTTTTTTTGAGCCAACACGGATAACACCTACAACTAATACCTGTATAGATAATGTATTAATTAATATGAGAGTTGAACAACACCAAACTTTAAATATGGAATTAGGAGTATCAGACCACAGAGCTTTATTTATTACATTAGATAGTATATTGATTTTAGTGGTGACTCTGTTAATTTTAAGAAACTAAGCTATAGTAGGTCTTTTTCAGCCAAAACAATTGATCAGTTTATGGCTACTTTAAATGAGGAAAATTGGAATTTTAGTGAAAATAATTCAGTTCAATGTAATTTTAATGATTTTTTTTCTAGATTTAAGATGATTTTCGAGAACCATTTTCCACTAAAAACTTGTAAAGCAGGACACCGAAAAAACAACAGAAAAAAATGGGTTAATTCAGAGATTAGAGAATTAAGTGTTAGAAACAGAGAATTGCAAGCCTTAGCAAAACAATCTGACAACCATGCCTTTAAAGAGTATTGTAAAGTTTTTGAGAAAAATTTCAAAGCTGTCTGTTCTAGGGCAAAAAGAAATGCAAACACCTCTTTTATAGAGAAAGCAGACGATAAAAGTAAGGCAGTGTGGTCAGTTGTTAATGGAGAATTAGGTTTAAAGGCAACTCAAGAAAATAGCTTTTCAAACATTGTTTTCCAAAATAAGTGTTTAGAAGATGGAAATAAAATAGCTGATATTTTTAAAAATAAATTTACTGACATTTGTTTAGAGAATGAGATTTCACCATCAAGTGAAATGGCAGTTAGATTTGCAATGAAAAATAATGAGTGGAGTCAAAGTTTACCAGTTTTTCACTTCAGTCCAGTAGATGAAAACCATGTTAATAAAATGATCAAATCATTGAAGAACAAGCGATCTTCAGGATGGGATGAGGTTCCTTTGTTTTTATTGAAAAAAAAAATTATCGGCCAGTGTCCTTGCTTCCTGCATTTTCAAAGGTTTTTGAAAAAATAGCTAATAAACAAATCTTATCATTTTTTGAAGACAATAATTTATTTATCAAGGAACAATATGGATTTAGAGAAAATAAGAGCACAGTTTTAGCGATAGCAGATTTAACCAGGTGTGTATCGGAGGGCTTGGATGGATCGCAGACCACAGCTGGTGTTCTGTGATCTATCCAAGGCTTTTGACTGTGTGGTACATGATATTCTTCTTGATAAGTTAAAAGTTATAACTTCTCTTCTTCCATATTATCTTGGGTTAAGTGTTACCTATCTGGTAGACACCACAGAACTGTTATAAAAAAAATTATATGGTTTTTAAATCTGAATGGAGGAAAGGAACGTGGGGCGTTCCCCAGGGCTCTATTCTTGGTCCTATTCTGTTTTTAATCTATATAAACGATTTAGCACAAAAATTTGATTTTTAAAATTGTTCTGTATGCAGATGATGCTACAGCCATTCTTAAATCAAACAACATTTTAGATTTACAGGAAATTATTCAGAATTCCCTAACAGATTTGCAAGTGTGGTTCAAGGCCAATGGTCTTAAATTAAATAGTAGCAAAACTAATGTAATCAATTTTAGCACCACACGAAGACAGGAACAAAATCTTATTCAAATAATATTAAATGATGATCACTTTCCTATTGTAAAGTCAACAAAGTTCTTGGGTCTCGAGGTTGATGAAAAACTAAACTGGAAAACATATATTGATATTTTGATAAAAAAATTAAATTCCCTTTGTTTTCAAATGTTTGTTCTGCAAAAAATTACTGACTTACAGACGAGATTGATTGTATATCATGCATTGTTCGCTTCTTCAATGCAGTATGGTGTTGAACTTTGGGGAGGTAGTTCAGGTATGGAGTCTGTTTTTAAATTACAAAAAAAGTATCTTAGAACCATGACAAATTCTGAACCTAGAACATCCTGTAAATCTATTTTTAGGGAACTCAAAATTTTAACACTACCATCTATGTACATTAGTAAATGTCTGTTTTATGTCAAATCTAACTTTAATATGTTAATGGAAGATCAACACATTCACAATTATCAGACTAGGAACAGAAGTGATTTCCAGTTTCCTGTTCATAGATTAAGTTCCTTTGAAAAGTTGCCACAGTATTTTGGGAAAAAATTATATAATAAGCTACCAAACAGGATAAAGAATATTGATAATGATCATAAGTTTAAGAAAGAAGTTCAGTCCCTGCTGCTAAACAAAGTATACTATTGTGTAAATGATTTCTTATGTGACACTTTGTAATATGATGTAAATATGTATATAAAATTAAGGCATTTGATTAAGTTTTAGTCAACAAAACAATTGTATCATGTATTTTGCTTTTTTAGTTTTTAAGATGTTGACATGTCACCCAGCTGTGCTGGGGAGGAAAATGTATTGTGACAAATAATAAAGAATCTGAATCTGTATTCCCACCCCTCACACTGAACGTGTTAAGAAAAGAAGACCTATTCTAGGAAAACAATTATCACAATCAAATTTGTAGAGAATTTAATTACCTACTAAATGCTTCTATTTTTCTTTGCCAACTGTTTAAAGTCGTTTTGGCCAATTAATGCTTTATGTTTCGCGTAGGTCTACGTGTATGTGTTATTTTTGTGAACCTTCTGACGACCATTCCATGGAATAAATCAATGTAACATTGGCCTGAAGATGTGTTTATAACAACACGAAACAGCTGTAGTCAACTAACTACAAACCAGGATCACTTGACGGATATAGGTAATTTAAAACTTTTATTGTTTAAAGTTGTGCGGAAAAACAAAAACAATTAAAACAACAGGCCTGTTTTTTTTGCTTTTGTGACTCCACATTTAATCTAAAAAAAAAATCAATTATTTTTTAGTTTTGGCTTGAATTTTTAATTAATAAAAACCTTACTTAAGGTACTTAGATGTTAAATTTCAAGCAACCTACCAATACAGCAAGTACATTTTTAAAGATTCATTCATTTAAACAAAATAAGATCAAGTACAGTAACATACATTCGCATATGGCTCCACGAAAAAGTGGCGCCAACGGGACACAATTTTTTTTCTTTCAGAAGACAAAATTGGAAACAGCATTACTGACAAGTGAACAACTTAATTTTGTTTTTTTCGCTCATAGTTCAAGTATCCAAAGCACTATACCAAAGGCATTTATTCTTTTTGTACCAAAAGCACTTGCAAAAT